ATCCACTGTCTGTACGGGATCCGGTGAGTGGGACTCGCCGAGCCCCCCCCCCCACTTTAAAAAACAGCCCTAATTTTTTGCTGAACACTTAGTCCTTGTTGAACAAAGTCATAATTACTTCACAAGGCGGGCACGAGGTGGAGACTTTAAACTCCCTCGACCCAGAACAAACTCTCTAAAATCCACAGTGCATCATAGAGCCGCATTTCACTGGAACCATCTGCCAATAACCACACGAACAGTTCAGAACAGAACAAGCTAAAAAAATATACTGTCTTCAGAACTACTGCAAATGATAACATGAACTGACCTGTGTGTATATGTTGTATAGTCTACTCTTGTTTATGTTTTTATTATTTCCTACTGTGATTTTTATTTTTATTTGTATGATCTGTTTATAATGTAATATCATTTCTTCATGTGAGGACCCCAGGAAGACTAGTGGCCATTTATTTGGCAGCTAATGGGGATCCTAATAAAACTAAACTAAACAAACTAAACTGAACCGGTCGTCACTAACTGCTCCCTGTCCGCAGCTACGACGACTACGACTACGGCGGCGTGAACGTGCTGCTGGAGCGCTCGCTGAAGGCCTTCGTGAAAACGGTGGCCTGCCACCCCGAGCAGACCACCGCCCGCGTCTACCACGCCTTCTGGAGGCACTTCAGGCACTCGGAGAAGGTATTGAGCGCCCGGAAAACGCCGGGCGGCGCGGAGCTTTTGACATTCTGACTCCTCCCTGGAGCCTCTTCAACCGAGAATAAAACGCTGACATTTAAAAATGTGCTTCCTTTCCCTTTTTAAATGTCACCAGAGGAGGAAGTTTACAGACAGGACTTGAAAGTGCATCACCCTCTGACCTGAACGTAATTACTCACTTTTCTTCTTCTTCTTCTTCTTCTTCTTCCGTCCCTTTTTTTTCTTTTTTCCTCTTTCTGTGCAGGTTCATGCCAACCTGATAGTGATGGAGGCCCGGCTACAGGCAGCCCTGCTCTACTCCTTGCGAGCCATTACGCAATACATGAGATAACACACTGACCCGCTTCCCGGGAAAGACGCTGAGCCCGGAAGTTCTCGCACTACAGTCGACGTTTGCATATCCTCTGTCTCAGTGTTACTGTTCCGATGCTGCTTCGCCGTTTGGACGTATTCAGAGATTGTTTGTCGTTTTGCACTGAAGTCTTATCAGGATGTTTGCCCTCTTGAGCCTTTTTTCTAAATGTTTCTAAATATCTTGTACATTTTCCTGGCATATCTCAATGCTGCGTACCAGGCGTGCCAGGAGAATTTGGCATTAGTAGATCAGTGTTGTGAGGAGTAGAGTGTTTCTGTTGGTTTAGAAAAACAACAAACAAACAAAAAAATGTATGAGAAATTCCTTTGGCACACTGTCAGGCATTAAGCTCTCCTTGTTTGCAGTACAGAGACTGATTTGATATAAGTCAGAATATCATGTATTTTTATAAACAATAAAGTTACTTTATCAGTTAAATCAAGTCTCGTGGGTTTGTGTAAACCTTTTCCTTACAGAGTCGCGTGCAAGCAGTCGAAAACACGGTTTACAGTTACAGTTTTGTGCCACAAGATGGCGGAAAAGACCCTTAAATTGGTGGGTGTGGGGGTTCGGGATGGGGGCAACGTGATTTTGCGGCAATACTTAAAAGTTTTTACACGGACTTTGTCTAAAGTCCGTCCCCGCGTGGAGGAGCGACCGGCCGGAGGAGTGGACGGACCCTCTTTTCGGTTGTTTCCTTTCGGCTGTGAGCCTGAAGGCGGATATCACACTTCTGGTCCTCGCTTCTTCCTGTGTTTCTCACACCCAGAGAGTCAGAGCACCGAGTCCCAGCATGCACGTTCACGCCTCCCAAACAAGACGCGCGAGCCGGCATCCGCGAGGTTAACGTAAGTTTTTCTTCTTCTTCTTTTTTTTTTTTTACACCTCCCAAATATCCTACATGTATTTGTATGTGTTTGACAGACTAATTTGTGCGTCGTGTTCTCTTTTGCTCGCGTTATTTTGTGAGTTTACAGAAACATAAAACGAGCCCCTGAGGCGTTTTGAGCATTTTGAGGAAATGTGGGACCCCACTTTGGTCCGTTATCGCTGGACTTCCAGCTGTTCCACCTGCCTTTGTAAAAGAGCCATTTCCTCTCTGCTTTTCCACTGAATGTCACAGGTTTGTTGAGCCGCACGCGCGCCTTCTCCTGGGCTGTCCCTCAGCGTGCGCGCGCGAGGCGCTTTCCGCACACCTTCCGGAGGGCACGCGCTCGTTCCTCCTCGGACTCGGGCGGCTCATCAGCCAGCAGCGGCTTTTCTCCCCGCGTCGCTCAGCTCCAGACACCCGGCAGACAGACACCCGGAGCCCGACACCCGGCAGACAGACACCCGGAACCGGGCCACGGACGCCAGGGCTCCCGCTGAAAGGTACGCCAGAGGACACGGAGCCTCCCGTGTCTGGGTCCAAAAAGGAGCCAGAAGGGCGTTGAAATGAACAGCTTAGTTGTTTTCTAATGGTTATTCAACTCGATTCGTACTTAAACGTGTCATTTTGTGTTTGTTAATTCGAGGAAAATTGATTTTTTTAACATGGTTATGCCGTGGTTTAAAGAACTGAGGTCTAATCTTACTGTATATCTGCTCCACACTTCTGTCACTTTATTCACATTTCCATTTAATTAGTCAGAGAGGCGTTAATTTTCTCATCAAAACGGTGTGGTTGGTAAATAAAGGGAAGTTTAGTTGTAACTGCTTGTGAAAAGTTGATCAAGAGTTGTTGTACCATCACTTCCACCCCTGGATGGGAGGCTACCAGAGAGGATGTTATTTAGTAATCAAGAACTCAAAATTGCATTACTGAAAAAGCGGAAAGTACCAGACTAGTTGCCCATAACCGACACAAAATGAGTTATTTGTCCACCAAAGACAGAAAGAAAGAAAGAAAAATGGATGGATTCAATGGAATATTTATGTATCTATCGAAACTGTTAGAAGAACAACTTTTCCATGTGTTTACACTGAAATGAGTGAAAGAGTCAATTCCAAAAATGGACATTCAGGCTTTCTTTGGGGCTGTTGGCATGGGAGGAATATTCCTCCAGTAAATGTGACCAGGATTTATGTGGCGATGCAGCTACAGGAAACCGGCTTGAGGAAAGGCGTGCTGCCTGTTTCCTTAACCTGCCGTCCAAAAGCTGGACATCAAACGGCTTTACCGCTCCTCTGACAGGTGTTTTCTGTGATCACCGGGATATTTTTCCACATCTCGAAACATTAAAACGTTTGGCTGGGGAAGGAAAATTCAAATGGTTGGTTGGGGGAAACTGCCATTAGGCCGCCCAAGGCCAGACTCCATCACTTCCTGTTTCTTTACGAGGTCAGTTCCTGTCTTTGGTCCCGGGGCCAGGCAGGAAGCAGGAAGAAGGGGGCGTGGAGGGGGCTTCTAGTGGGGGGATTGGACCCGGCCTGAGACGGAGGAACCCGTTTATGGGCGGAGTCTTGCACACCTGGACGCCACAGAGCAGGTGGCTTCCCTTTCTCTTCGTCTTTTGGTCTCCATAACGATGCCTTCATCCCCCATTAACTCATTGACTGCCGCCATTTTCAGAACAGAGAGTTCCATACTGCCAGTTTTTTTAGCATTTTGACTGATTTTTCAAGAGCCACAGAATAGTTTGTGCTATGACTATGTAAACACAGAACGCACCAAAAGAAAGAGTAGACTTTCTTCTTTCATCAGGAAAAAAAAATTGTTTCTACCTTATTCCGTTCTTCCTCGACTTGCGTCTCACCGGCGACATTTCTCGCATAGCGAACCGTTACCTTTTTCTTATTTGCCTACAGTCTATGCTCATCTCCCATCAAAAGTGGCACTGCCACCTAGAGGGTCAATTTGTTAGTACATACTCTGTCTAGAAGCCGATATTTACGGACAAGCTTTAGCAGATCGTCCCCCAAGCCACTCGCGTTGAAAAACATAAAAGACGTCTATAGACATCTTTGGCAGCCAATGAGTTAAGTTAAAGACGGGGTCAAACCCTTTGGAAACGCTCCATTAGGCCACCTCGGTCCCCCGTATCTTGAGGATGCGATGACCTCATGTGGAAACAGGACATCCCGGTGGCTGAGAAGCCCTAGTTTTCCACGGCCCGCCTCCAGCTCTGCCCGCCTGTTTCTGAGACCGGGCCTGGACTCTGTGTGTTGGGACAGTGTGCTTCCCATTGTCCTATCACTCCTGCCCCACGCACACTCTGCATCCTGTGGAGTTTCCTGTGCAGGAGGCAGCGGGAGAGACGAGCAGAGGGAGAAGGGAAAAGGTAAGAAAAGAGATCGGGCGAAAAGTTTGGGCTCATCGCGTCGAAAACCACCGAAAGTCCACGAACTGGACGGATTGTGGACGCGTGTGCGTGTAGCTGAGGTGAACTTCTCCCTCTGGGAGCCGCTTATCTACAGCCCTCTGCGCAGGAAAGGGTGTGTCGCCCTGCTCTGGATGTTTGTGAGTGTGAGGACGGCGATGGAGGGTGATGTTATTGTGATTTCAGAAGAATGCTCCGAATGCGTGCTTCTGGTTTCGGGTCAAAATCTCGTTGCTTCCTGATATTGTTTCGCGTGAGCCAGAGCGGCAATATAATGTTGTAAAGCTGTGAAAAGAAACTGTTCCACAGAACATTTGGTCCTTTTTTACGGGAATTTTTAGGTGACGAAAGAGAGGAGCCAGGTTCCTTTAAAGCAGTTGTAATTGTGGTGTATCGTCACCTTTTCCGGGTGGTGATACAGAAATGTCTTTTTTGGACCAACGATGTCCAAAACAACTGTGAAGATCTTAATAACCTTTCAGCTATGGAACAAGTTCGACCATCTTTTTTTCATCCAAAACTCCATCGAGCTCTGTTGTTTTCCATGTGTGGCTTGTTACTCAGAGGTTCTTGGTTCCTTTAGAGAAAGAGATTTGAAGAATTTAGACACGCAGAAAATGGAAAAGGAGACATATTGCTCAGTAGGGTAAAATTCCAGCAGCTGATCTCTGTTTCAGACATCGAATTTGATTTAATTTTGCATTTATATCTTGAGCTGATGGACAAATTCTACTTCCCAGCATTGAAGCATGGTGGTGGAAGCATCATAGTGGGAGAAAAACCACAAACAGACAGAAAATCCAAGAAGATTTTAATAATTTGTTGACAAAAATGGTTTTCATCTTCTTGGATCCTTTAGATATGATGTAATCAGCCTTTTAAATTGAAGACAAACTCAACGAGTGAGGTCGTCTGAAGAGATTCTGAAGGGCCGTCTGCAGATTTCTACATTTCTTTTTGGCATTGAGGGGAATATTTTGTCTGTGAAAGCAGTAGGTTTAACTTTGTCAGATGATAAAAAAAATCTAAATGGACAATTTCTTTGGTAGAATTATTTATAGTGAAGCTATTTATTCAGTTCTGTGAAACTGTCTTTTTTAAAAATTCTTTTACACAATTGTCCAGAATAGTCCCTTTCCTGTGTCTCCTATCTTGTGTTCGCTGTTAGACTTATCACAAACCAACATCACACTTCTACCCACCAGAGGAAGCAGCTTCTGTTTTACTGCTTGATCTAATTGGTTCTTTGCTTTTGCCCTCTGCTAGCAAATATAGATTGATCAGAGAGTGAAACAAGAGTCAGCTTTGACGCTACAGGAGAATCCCAAGAAGGCCTTGTTGTAGATTGTGTAGCATATTTTTGAGTCGTAGCACCAGACTGGTGTATTATGAACACATTAGGGCCCATTATGGTGGATGAACGTCACTAAACGAGAGCCTGTGTCTCTATTAATGATTTGTTTTGAGCAGAGGAACAGAAACCCAGACTGACATGAAGGACTCCGGCTGTACAGACGCACAAAAGTAGTGCGCAGACTGACTATACAACCCCCACCCGACGACTCACTGCCTCCACCACCGCACCCCGACCCACTCCACACTCTGTACGTGTGCTTTATGATAGTTGTGGCGACCGAGATGTGAACATGTCTGGTATTAAAAGACACAGAGGCAAAGCTGATTAGCATTCAGAGGCGAGTCGATGTGGGTTTCACTTCACAGGCCGACGGGGTTTGTGCCATTTAGTTTCTTCATTTTGTGGACAGAATAAGTGGGTTATTGCCAGTGAAGACCAGCTCAGAGCAGGAATATCGGCCCAACCAGTCGAGAAAAACGCGGCTTTTTAAAAACACTCCCCGCTCTGTGAGCGAGGGGGCGTCTCTGTTGTTTAATCTCTCCTGTTTGTGGTCGTGTGCGACTCCTGGAGAAGAGAAAAAGGTGAGAAAAAGCAGAGAACGCATCAGGATGACACAGAACTCTGTTCTGCCCTGTGTGACGTCTCCTTTTTGGATTTTATCAAGAAGCCGGCATCCGAATGGAGGATGGAGGGAACGAGAACGGTTGTGTGGGATGGATGTGAGCATGAGAAGAAAATGTGTGTGTCCGGGGGGTTTGTGGCCCTGCAGCTGTTTTGGGTGTGTGTTTGTGGATGGACTCTGTCCTCGGTTTCCAGGAAAAGGGGGGAGCCATCGGAGGGGTGAACAGGAAACTGTAGCAGGGCTAACTTCCTGTAGTTCTCATGATGGCTGGCCTGATAACCAGTGAGTGTGTGTGTGTGTCCATTCCCCTAATCGTGAAATGTTTGTATATGTTGCTGTGGGTGAAGCGATGCAGTCATCTGGATGCTGCCCATTATAGCTTTTGTTTCTGTGGAAGAATTTCAAGGAATTTGTGCGGATGGAACCAAATCGACGGTTCAGAAGAAGCTCGGCTGGTTTTTTCTTAATGAAAGTAAATAGCTTTTTTTTTGTTCTTCCCTCTGTGCCGTGACTTGTATTGTTCTCCTACTGTGTGACTTCCCCCACATTCCTCAGTAGGTGGGGTCCTCCTGAAAGGTGGCAGGTTAGACTCCAGAGGCCACTCGTCATCCAGTCATCCCAGTATGAAGGAGCCAAAAGGAATTCAGTGGATTTGTGGGTTGTGAGTGTTTGGTAGGAGAAATAATCTATTCACAAGAGGGATATTTTACCAAGCTGATGATCATAACAAGGAAAAAGAAAAATACCTGCCTAGTCCCCAACTTAACAGTCTTATTGATAAAAAAAGATGTCTTGGCCTTCGTTTTTTTTTAAAGAAAAAGTACTCGATCTTATATGAAAATGGTTACCTGATTTGGACTAAAACCATAAACTGTTCTTTTAAAAGAGTTTTTGTTTATATGCTAAGGTGTAATTAATGGACGTAGTTGAAAAAGTTTACATGCTTTATTGTTTTAGAATTTGTCATTTTTGTTCTGCTGTATTTCTGTAACAAACATAAAGCCACCTTTAAAAAACATTATTATTGATTTAAAATGACCAATAACCTTAACCGATTTCACAAAAAAAGGCAAAAGTGAATATTTAATAGTTTTTATTTGTATTTTTTTAGGGAAGGCCATCTGGTTAAAAGGGAATGTGATCCTTATTGTTGGAAAAATGTATTTTCTGGAAGTGAAACCTCTAACAAAACAAAGCTTGGATTAAGAATGCATTGGAACTCGTGAGCTTAGATATTTGCTTACCGGACTTATTACTGGACCAAGAAGCTGTTTCAAGCTACGCTCACAGAGCAAGTCTGATGAAGAGGCACGAGGATTGTTTCCCTTTGGGGTTAAAAATCTTTGAAATCCCCAGCTTTAGTTTTAGCTTCGTGAACGAGTTTTTTAGGTTCTGTGGCCGTCCACAAAAAAAATTAAAAGAAGAAACCTGCGTGCGAAAACCATGCAGAATGCTTTCCACTGTCTTTTGTTTCCTCTTTGTGCTGCAAACAGTTTTTGCTTTGTCAACGTTTGTTCCACTGAAAAATTAAAGTTGGTTCAGAAGTGGCGTTGCTTAAACCAACATGGGCAGGACTCTGCTGGCGGAGGGTCACTGTGTGTCGGTTAGCTCAGTCTGGTGGTGACATTTACAGGCCTCCATCACCACAAATGTTCACACTCACAGCTGTTGACCAAAGAGGGACTGAGCACCGTCTCGAAACGGCAAAGAAAAAGGGGAAGTGGCTAACCTCACATCTCTCTCTCTCTCTCCCTCTCTCTGGGCTCTCCTTATCTCAGGCTGTTTGCACTTCTGTAACTTCTCCTTACATCTGACTGTGCACATCTCTCGTTCAAACTCTAATTCTCTTGTCTTTTTCTTGCCTCCCCCCTCCTCCATTTTCCCCCCCGCTCACCCTCTCCTCTCTGTTCCAGTGGCGATGCTGATCGACAGATGATCTGACAGAGAAAGACATCAGGTGAGACCAAATTAACTTCTCCTTCCTGCCCTGTCACCGCTCCCTCTCATTCCTGCTGGAGGGAAGTTGAGCTTCTTTATTTAAAGTTTGTTACTTCTCTTTGTCAAGTTCTCTATTGTGTTTAATTTGTACCCTGGTATGCTTTCACTTTCCTCTCACTTCAGTTCATAGGCAGTGAGTTTCTGTAGGTTCAGAAGTCACTCGTAATCAAGCTACATTTGATAAAAACCCTTCTTGTTTTTGTTTTCACATATTTTACTGCTGTTATTTCCCTCTTATTTATGCAAGCTGAGTGGCTTTTAGTTCATATTTAAGCCTCACTTTACATTTAGATCCTCCCACATAGTATCAAACCGAGCTGCCTGCTTCCACAGACGCCGTCTCCGTGCCGGTTATTATGGGGTGTGTCTGCTGCAAGCAGAAGAAGTCTGCCAAGTCCATCACGTCATCAGCAACAGCCGACATCGCAGATCGGTCTCCTAGCAACGCGGATGGGGGGCTGTCCACGGCCTTCCACAAGGGCCGCTACAGCCCCGACCCCACGCAGACCATCCCCGACTTCAACAAGGCCTTCAACTCCGTCGCCATCTTCCCCAACACCAGCACGCACCAGCGGCCCGGGGGCCTGACCAGTACGACCACACGTGCACGCCCGTGCACGGCAAAAATGTGTTTTAACTGAATTAGATGCCAGAAGGTGGACATCTTAACAGATGCCATATACTTTTAATGGAATAATACTAATAGAAAATCAGGTTCAACCTGAGCATCGTCAAAAATCTTTGGTGTTTTTTGTGGTCGCCCTCCATGGTGGGGACAGTGATGCTCTGTTTGTGCTCACGCAGGTGGTGGAGTCACTCTCTTTATAGCTCTGTATGACTACGATGCTCGGACTGAAGATGACCTCACCTTCCAGAAGGGAGAGAAATTCCAGATCATCAACAACACGTGAGCAGACTTATTTATTTACATACTTACTTACTTACTTGCTTATTTATTTATTTATTTACTTACTTACTTACTTACTTACTTACTTACTTACTTACTTACTTACTTACTTACTTACTTACTTACTTACTTACTTACTTACTTACTTACTTACTCACTTACTTACTTACTTACTTACCTACTTCTTTACTCACTTATGTATTTATTTATAAACCTATTTATTCATTCATTAATTTGTTTAGTTACTTACTTACTTACTTACTTACTAACTTGCTTATGTATTTATTTATAAACCTATTTATTTACTTAGTTAGTTAGTTAGTTACTTACTTACTTACTTACCTACTTCTTTACTTACTTATGTATTTATTTAGAAACCTATTTATTTATTTATTTAGTTAGTTAGTTACTTACTTAATTCTTTAGTTACTTACTTATTTCTTTACAGGTGGGTTTACAGATGGCACATTCAAGAACAATAGTCTCTGATATGACAGCAGCAGATAAAAATGTATCCCCCAAACCTCCCAATATGGCAATGTGATCACATCAGTATTGACTTCCTAACACTGGCTGATGTTGTTTGCCTGCCTTGGATCCCACAGACAGCCATTAAACGCCTCCCCTGGCTGGCTGTTGGAGGCCTCCGCTGGTGTCCGCGCTCACAAGCTCGTGTTATTGACAAACGTTTTGTGCCGCTCTGGAAATCTAAAATCAGTTTTCATGCTGTTTACATTTTGGGTTTGCAGCTAACAGATTAAACACACATGCTCCAAATGCCCTCTTTGTAAACCGGACGTCTTTTTAGAGGCGTCGTTTTATGCTGATGAAACTCCACGTGTGTGTTTTTAAACCCAGAGAGGGCGACTGGTGGGAGGCTCGCTCTTTGGACACCGGAAAATCTGGTTACATCCCCTCGAACTATGTCGCTCCCGTGGACTCCATACAGGCCGAGGAGTGAGTGCGCACAAATTCCCACAAACACGCACAGCAGCGATGGCTTTGTATTCGGGCTCCTGGATGTCTTCAATGATTCACATGGAGTTTGAAAGCTGAGGCTAAATGATGTTTGTCTGCTGCTGAGACCTGAGTGGTGTTATCATGGTGACAGGTGGTATTTTGGGAAGATGGGGCGGAAGGATGCAGAGAGACAGCTGCTGGGTCAAGGCAACCAGAGGGGGACCTTCCTCATACGCGAGAGCGAGACAACCAAGGGTGAGGTGGCACCACGTCTCCTAACAGAGATATTTTTTGTGTAAATGTGTCGTTCACGTGGGCCCGCTCGGTGCCTTGCTCCCCTTTACCCTCCTCCATGTTTCAACCCCTCGCAGGTGCCTATTCGCTGTCCATCCGGGACTGGGACGACAACAAGGGAGACCACGTCAAGCATTATAAGATTCGTAAACTAGACAACGGTGGCTACTACATAACCACCCGGTCGCAGTTTGACACTGTGCAGCAGCTGGTCGAGCACTACACAGGTAACACAACCACAAGGAGGACCAGCCAGCCTCTATTTGGTTTCCACTTCCTGTCAGACTGCAAAGCTCGTGCCTCAGCCATCTGAAATTGTCCTAGATTTTTTTTTTTCATTCAAAGATCGCTAGATTTGGAACACTTTGTTAAGAGAAATGGAAATGAAAATATCCTTTCAACCTCTCAGCTGTCAGGTGAAACACTGGCTTCAACAAGCCCCTATAAATATATGTTTAAATATGCAACCTAGCTTAAAATCTTGGCTCCGTCGAGTGAACTTGAATATATATGTATGCATTCATTATTTAAATGTCTTTCTCGCCCCCCTGCTAGTTCTGTGAAGTGGTCATCTTAGCATAACTCTGTAAAGCTTTTATTATACTTAACTTCCTTCCTTATATTTACTTCTACATGTTACTGCTTTTGGCTCTCTACGTGTTCCTGCCTCCCTTCTTGCCTCATTTAACGTTTTTAAATTGACTGATTTTGCATTTAAAAGAATCCTGCATTGCTGCAGATGACATTACCCAAGTGTTTGTCATGTGATCGGAGTAAACTGCTTAACTGTGCCGCTCTCACGAGACTGCCTCAGAAATGCTGACTTTATTGTCTCGTCTGATTTTGACCACAGATCTTTTGCAGATGTTTGTTTAAGTGAAGACATCTTCAGCCATTAGTGAATTAACTCAGGTTTTGTGCCACACCAAAGCTTTCACTTCCTCAGCTCTCTGTCAGTATAAATCTGCCACCTAGTGGCTCCAGCTAATATCAGAAAACACTCTGCAGTTTGACAGGCGTTATATCCTTTTTTTTTTTTAGCCCTGTTTTGATATTGCTCTGTGCTATTGTGTTGCAGCTCACAGTGTCTGTCGATGCCATTTGTGTCTCTGTACTTTTGTTAACTTGTCAGCTGATGACGCACATATGCGACCTGTCTTGTTCTTTCTTCAACTTTGTGCCTGCTCTCCTTTCCCCCCGTTTCTGTTTTCTTTTTTTTTCTATCTTTCGCCTGTCGGTTTGTGGTGCTCTCTCTCAGAGAGAGCGGCCGGCCTGTGCTGCCGTTTGATTGGCAGCTGTAAGCGGGGCATGCCTAAGCTGGCTGACTTATCAGTGAAGACCAAGGATATGTGGGAGATTCCGCGAGAATCTCTCCAACTGATTAAGAAACTGGGCAACGGCCAGTTTGGAGAAGTCTGGATGGGTAGGACTGGTGGGACTGTGTTGGAAGGGGGAGGAGGGAAATGACAGCAAAAGCACCCCTGAAACATGAAATATGAGCAACTGCCAGTCTGAAAGTGCAGGGACGTGTTCACACAGACGTGAAAACATGCAAAACTAATCTAGTTTTTGTCAATTTTTTAAGATGAAAGTGCAAAAAAGTGAGAAAAATCACAGAAATCTATAAATAGAAGTGAAATCATATTTCAAATCCAGGTGCACTGAGCTGCTCCCCTCCTCCCCCACGAGTGCATGCGCATGTTTCACCATCTCATATCACCTTTGTCATCCCCCCCCCCTCCATCTTTCCATCCACCACTGCACCCCTTTTTTCTCCCATTCTCCATCACCCACTCCTCTCCTCCCCACCTTCATCTCACCCCTTTCCGGGCGCCTGCCTGCTCCCCCCCCCCCTCCCAGGCAGTAATGACGGGCTGTGCTATTACCTGACAAATCCCTGCCCCAACAGCACCCCCCTCACTCTGGGCCTGGGGCGGGACGCCTGGGAGGTGCCCAGGGAAACGCTCTGCCTGCAGAGGAAGCTGGGCCAGGGCTGTTTCGGGGACGTGTGGATGGGTGAGGACCTCGAACGCACCGCGGTCCCGGAGGGCAGAACGAAGACGTTCGCCCCGGAAAAAACGCCGGATGTGGGATTCCTCTATATCGGTTGATGCCGTTTGTTTTTGCCAGCCTGAGACGCGTGGGCTGGTTTTCCCACAGGAAGCGTGTGCAGTCACACCTGTGGTCGGTTTGTGTTACACCCTGAATCTAGGTGTGTTGGATTTCTGAGCCGGCTGAACTCTTTTCCTGCCCGTGTAACTCAGGTGCTGCCGGTGTTGACGTAAGACATCCAGAAAACCCTCCCTCCCTCCCTCCCTCCTCGCATCCCTCCTTCCTCTCCTCACAAAAAACGCATGCTCCTCATGTAACAACCACGTGAATGCACCGGGAATTTACCACATGTGGCGTTGTGCCGAAGCACCTCGTTTTGTGTTTATATCCGCGTATATGGGCTCCCGTGTGCCCATATACGCGGATATATATGCTGAATGTGCCTCATAAGCATCTGCTGCTGTCACAAGGATGGAAGGATGAGTGGAAATGCTTCCCGCGGAGCATCTGTGTGCGTCTGTGTGGGCTCGCCTCACATCCGCTCGTCTGTATGCCAGGCATGTGGAACGGCACCACCAAGGTGGCGGTGAAGACTCTGAAGCCGGGAACCATGTCCCCCGAGGCCTTCCTGGAGGAGGCTCAGATCATGAAGAGACTCCGGCATGACAAGCTGGTGCAGCTCTACGCCGTGGTGTCTGAGGAGCCCATCTACATTATCACCGAGTTCATGAGCCAAGGTACCGGGCCGAGTAACTCTGACACACACCCGTAGATCTGAACGGCTGCCATCACAGTAGGTGGAGGCCTCACTGACATTGAACTGCTGAAGTTCACTTTTCCCACATCATGACAGTGAAAAACACTCCTGCCTCTTAAGATATTAGTAACAGAAAAAGGTCATTTTAATGGAGTGTTTCACCGGTGTTATCGTGGCGCCTTTCCACATAAGTAAATCAATGATAAATGAAGTAATAAGTCCTCCCTTTTCCCCTGAATCTGGAGCCGCTTCAAAGGTTACTGTCTCTCTTTTTGGCTTCCCTGACTTTCATTAAATCTCTAAAATGGACATTTTTTAAATATCCAACTCTGTATCACGCAAACAGAAACAGGCAGTCCATGAAATCAGCAGTGATGTAATTTAGCCCATTAACTGAAGAGGGTTCATGATCAAGGACAGCTTTAGTAATGTGGAAAATCAAAGTTTGAACCTACACATGCTTGGATGAAGCACCGAGTTCACAGGATCCCTGTTTGAGGTTTTTGGTAATTTATGAACACAGTATGATCACAGGTTTTTATACAGGACTAAATATTTAAGGTTTCATTTAAATTTTTTACAATTTCAGTTTAGATAGAGCACATATATTGTCTTATGCACGATATGAAATCATGAAAATGAAAATATTTACGATCTGGTCCATATCGATGTTTCTGCTGTGACCTGGTGGCAGTGACTTGTCAGTAATCGTCTTATCTGCTCCAAACGTGGGACTGTGTGGTTTCCTGCTTCCCTTCTTAATGACCCTCCTCTGGTGTTTTCAGGAAGTCTGCTGGACTTCTTAAAGGATGGAGAAGGCCAGAGCCTGAAGCTGCCTCAGCTGGTGGACATGGCCGCGCAGGTGATTGAAGGATGAACTCGCCGACAGACCGGAGCCGGTTTTACTCCCCCTGCTGACGGGGTCTCTCTTCTCCTGTGTGGGGGGGCAGATTGCAGCTGGAATGGCGTACATCGAGCGGATGAACTACATCCACCGGGACCTGCGGGCCGCCAACATCCTGGTCGGAGACAACCTGGTGTGCAAGATCGCCGACTTTGGCCTGGCGAGGCTCATCGAGGACAACGAGTACACGGCCAGACAAGGTGTGTGTGTGTGTGTGTGTGTGGGGGGGGGGTTACGTGTGCATGTGTGTGGGAGAACCTCAGACGCTGTTATTAACGCGTCCACTTTGCCTTTTGTGGTCACTTTTCTTTTTTTTTTTTATATCTTCTTATCAAACACAAAACAGAGGTATATTCTTGGCTCAAGATATAGATTTTGGTGTTTTAAACATTTCAAATTGCACCCCCCACCCCTCAGAACTACTGTGCGTCTACCAACAAGATCAATAAGCAATAAAACATTACTGAGTCATTTATATATACATATACATCTTAGACCATAAAGAAAAGGAAAGACAAAAAATAAATACAACCAAGAAGTAATTAAACAAGATATGCATTAATATGCATATCTGTATATATGTTCCTACCATACATAACAAAGGGGGACAGCGTAGCCTTATTCGTTTAACTTCTATAGGTTTTGGCCATAAAATTTAGATGGTTTACTCTTAGGGATTCTCAGGAAGTGTCCTGAGCTTTTCAAAATATTTTATTAATGGATTCCAAATACCATAAAAATGATCATTGGATCATCTTAATGTATATTTAATCTTTTCTAATTTTAGGTACGTGGTCACATTTCTATACGTAACCTGTCCTAATTATACTATCATCCCTTGTTACCATGGCATCAGGGGCGAAGTTTCCCATCAAGTGGACGGCTCCAGAGGCTGCTCTCTACGGACGCTTTACCATCAAGTCAGACGTCTGGAGCTTCGGGATCCTCCTGACCGAGCTCATCACCAAGGGCCGGGTGCCTTACCCAGGTACTCCCCCCACCGTTATGTCAGGCAGAATCAGCCTCGTTATCACTTATCTTCTAAATCTTCCTGGATTAGCTTTTATATTTTCCAATTTGAAAGGTTTTCATATCCAACAACACTGTGCTTTTGGTGACTTTCGGACAAAGTGCGTGAATTACTTTCAGATCTTGCTGTTTTCAGGGTTTACATCCTCCTCTTTAACACTCATTTGAAATTTGTGCTGCCCAAAAACATTTTCTCCTGCACTTTCAATGGCGTTTCAATGGTTTAGAATCTTCGTTTGGGCTTGTAAAGTTTTGTTTTAAGCACATTAAATAACGACGTATTGTTACAAATGTAAAATCTCTGCATGCTAAGGGGCGAGAGGGTGTCGGGCCCTTAGTCTCTAATCACGTTTTCTGCTCTTGATCTCTTTTGTTGCTGATATCTGGCAGCACATTACTCTCAGCAGTGACACCTGTTGTTGAAATGAGACTGAAATTCTCGTGTAAAAGCGATAAAAGGCTTCCTGGCTGCGTCCAGGTCCCAGACTGAGGGCTGAAGCCCTTTGTGTGGAGCCGAGGGCGGCCAGCTCCGTCTCCCACCCCGCTGCCTGTCCAGGCCTTTTCTTTTCCCCTCACTTGTCTGCATCCCCGTGAATCATATTTGCATAACAGGCATTTTGGCTCGAACAAGGAAAGCTCCACGCCACGCGTTGCCGTTTTGACCAAACGTTTAAATTACAGCACGAATCTCAGACCGAAGCCGAGAAAACCGTGCTGCTGCAACACTGAAGAACACATAAAAGCCACTCGAGATTTTCAATTCCCCCTAAAGTCGAAGGAAGTTTTCATTGAGTGTGCGTTTAATTTTCATTGAAAGTCGTTTGTGTTTCACGGCTGAATTTCTTCATGTGAATTTTCACACTAAACAAACCTTAAGAGCGTTAAAAAACGTCAGCGTTGTCTGGGAAAAAAGGTTGTGAGCTATGGTTTTTCAACACCTGGACACTGGAGGGCTGCTGTGCCCGTGCACTATGAGGAGCATGTACTGTAAAAATGTGAGCAGAAATATGTAAGTGAGTTTTCTATAAACTTTAAAATTGTATTGTCACTTTACTTTTATCCAGTTAACATTTGGAACGACTCAATTTGAAGCTGTTGAACAGAATATTTTAAGGATCGCAGAAAATATCTTTAAAGTTTTATTTGAAAGAATGATGTGTTGCATCTAACAAAGAACGAATAAATGACCAAATAGCGGAAAAATACAATGTTCTCTTAGAATAAATACATAAATAGGGGCTCTGGGACTCATAGTTTGAAGATTAGATGAACAAAACCGTATTAGATTACACTAATCATCATCACTGCTCCTATTTTGAGACTTAGTTTGTCTCTCTGACCCGACTCTGTTCACTTCAACCTTCTCTGTCCTCTCCTTTCTCCCCCTCCCCTCTCCCTCCTCCACCCCCCCTCCACCCTCTCCCTCCAGGCATGAACAACCGTGAGGTGCTGGAGCAGGTGGAGAGAGGCTACCGGATGCCCTGCGCCCCCGGCTGTCCGGCCTCCCTCCACGAACTGATGGTGCAGTGCTGGAGGCGGGAGCCCGACGAGAGGCACACCTTCGAGTACCTGCAGTCCTTCCTGGAGGATTACTTCACGGCCACAGAGCCCCAGTACCAGCCCGGGGAGAACCTGTGACCCCCCCCGGGGGGATCCTGTTTAACCCGTCAGAATCCAAACACACTCATATGAAGATGCATATCGATGACTTGTTTAAAAAGTTTAGAGACAGTTTCCTTCCTTGTGCCTTCGCTCGCCCGCAGCCAGCTCAGAACGGACCGGTTTACCATTTTGAGGGAGCCTCGGCTCTCCCGGTCAGGCGTCTGCAGAAATTGTTGCTTTACTCCGTAACCATGACAACAAGGATCTGAAAGGAGATGTGGATGGTTGTGTCGGGGTGGAGGGAAGTCCGGTGGGTACATGATCTGTTCGGCTGCCATGTTTGTTCGGGTTATTTTGTGCGGGGAGCTTTCTCCAGGCCCTCGGCCGTTTGTTTTTTCGAAGGTCGAGTCCGGACACGAAAAGGTGCGACAGGTTTTCCGTCGCAAACGAGTGTCCGCGGACCCCACGAAAGCTGCCCGAGAGCCGAGTAGATTATGTGCAGACACAGAGAGGCCTGTTTTAAAAGAATCACTCCCCTGCGGTAGGTCTGTTTTCATCTCAATCAGAGATCAGGATCAATGTCCCTCTCCTCGAACCTGTTTCCCACCTCCTGCCTTTAATTCTTTGTTAGGAAAACTTCTGGTGAAAAAAAAAAGAGCTTTACGTGTCTGATATTTTATGTGACCATTTTGCAAGACGTTGTTGATCTAATTTAACTCAGACACAAGCAATGCTATATGTAGTGACCATGTAAAGGGTTTTATCACTCGGCGGGGCGCCGTCAGATAGACCACATAAAGGGGAAAGACCTGAAGAGGGAGAATGTTTTATGAATGTAACCGTGCTGCCACGCGCCCTGCCATGTCATTGTAATAAAGATCAGATATCTTTTTACGGTTACGACGTGTTTCTCATTCACACACACTCGCGTTGGCTTTTTAAAATTTCCTTTCACAAGTACAGATGCAAGCAGCCACGGCTGAAAGGCTTCATACAAACCTAATGCATGAGCCAAATGGGGTTAAGAAATGTGAAAATGCAACAAAAGTTGGGATGTAAAATGCATAAAACAAGTAAAACACACAGTTTAGGAGATTTGCAAGTCTCCTGAAATAACACTAAAATAATAATAATTAATGATAATGATGATAAAACTGAGAACGAGGCTTCATGAAAATATTTGCTTGCCGGGTGTTTCATGACAGAATATAACTGAATATTAAATATAAATATAAAGCTGGCCTACTCCTCTCAGCACTGACAGCTGTGCTCCAGATGTGTCTGCACCTGAAACACCTGCATGGTGACCCGGGCCCCAGAGGCTCCTCCTCCGGTCGGCTTCAGCCATTTCAAATGACCTTTGACCCAGACAGGACGGCGGTTGTTTCCGGTTCGTTCACACAAACAGCTTCTTCTTCGTGTGACGGAGGTTTCACCTGCGTTTGTGGGGAGCAGAAAACAAAATAACCGACATTTAGCCTAAACCTGTGATCTACTTTTCAGACTCTGGGTAACAGCTGTGCCCTCTAGTAGGTCAAATTGATATGAATCCTTTCATAGTTTCATACTACATAAATCAGGTTTTTTGCAATTTCACTGCGAGCAGCATTAAGATTTAAACTACAGAACAATTTGAGGTTGTTCCTGAACACTAATCACCAGATTCAGGCTCTCCAAGAGGCTGTTTTTAAATCCCTGCTTCAGACCTGTTACCCACTAACCTTCTACAAATCATCCTTTCTGTTAGTTACCCCTTTTCTTAACGACAGAAGCGATGTTTTAAAGGTTTAATGCTTAAAATCTCATGCCAGAGCGTGGCCCTGACAGCGTTTTCTGCCCTCCCACTCATCCCATTGTGTTTCTCCCCCTGCTCCTGCGCTCACTTTCCCCCTGCTGTCTTCAGAAAAACCACAGTTCCCATAGTTCCCCGGCGCTAATTGAAGCCAGCTACGGGTGCCCGGATGGCTTTGACAGTCAGACACGTTGGAGAGGTACAGCGGAGGCTGAGGCGCGTGAGGCTCAGAGTTGGAATCGCAGCAGTGGCGGAGACGCTCGTGCGCACGGTCGCATTTCGCCTCCCGCATACCGGGGAGTCCCGCGCCTGTCACCGGAAGCGGAGCTGCGGGCTCTAGCCCCGGCGCTGTCAGCTCCTCCGCTGAGAGGAGGGCTGCGCGAGACCCTCCTCAATCCCAGAAAAACCCCAACCTTTTTTTGAATTTTTTTTTTATTGTGTTGCTTTCCCGTGTTTTGTGGGCGCAGACGGCGGTGCGCGGAGCGGTTCGGCCGCTCCAGACGGTGGCGCGCGGCGGCAGCGGGAGGCGCGAGGAGGCAGGAGGCGTTCACGTTCACGCTCACGCGGGAGGACAGACTCCCTCCGCCGCGGGGAGCTCACATGAAGAGGAAATGCTGCCGGGAGCCGGCCGCGGCCGTCCGGGCGGCGGCTCCGTGACCCGGGAGGGCGGACGGAGGCGCGAGCAGCAGCGCGTGCGGCACCGCAGCAGCAGCTCCGGCGGGCGGCGCGAGCCCTCAGACTCTCCCGGTGAGTGTGCGCGTGCGGTGGTCCTATATGTGTGCGCGTGTGTGTGTGTGTGTGT